TCACACATGAAAGGCAAGTGCTCTATTACTGAACTATGTCCTCACCCCTTTCTCATGTTTCTTGGAAGTAAAATTGGGGGTTGGATATATCATTCTTAAATTTTGGTACCCGTCATTCCAATGACCTATCTAAAATGGGTCTTTGTTTCCTTCCTTCAACATGCCTAAGGTCTTTCAGCTTCCAAATACCAAGATTTAAAAATATATTGTACAGGGGCTGGGGATGTGGCTCAAGCGGTAGCGTGCTCGCCTGGCATGCGTGCGGCCTGGGTTTGATCCTTAGCACCACATACAAAGATGTTGTGTCCGCCGAAAACTAAAAAAATAAATAAATATTAAAATTCTCTCTCTCCTCTCTCTCCTCTCTCTCTCTCTCTCTCTCAAAATATGACTATTTCCCTTCTAGTACTGTCATTTAAAAAATATATATATTGTACAGACTGGGGATGTAGCTCAGTGGCCTAGCATGTGTGAGGCCCTGGGTTCGATCCCTGGTATGGCCAAAAGAAGTAAAAATATAATGTAACTGTTATTCATAATGCTGTCAGGATTGGATTCATGGCCCAGCATAGAGTTTGTTTGAAAGGCATAACTGTGTGTGAGACATATAGGAATTGGTTGTAGTTGCTCAGTAGTACACCCAAATCTATGGAATTATGAGGTAACTTTTAGAAGAGTTTTGGAATCTAGCAAAAGTAGTAGTGATTTTGCTGCTGTAGAACATAGTTACAAACATTTCTTCTTGTATAGAGAATGATCTGAGTAAAGGCAGAGTAAGGGAGTGTAAAATAATGGAGGAACCTATACTTTAGAGGTAGGATTTTATTCTAAGGGGAAGGAAACCTTAAGGCGACTTTGACTAACGGAGGGATGATCAGAAATGTCAGTTTCTTTTTAGGAAGTTCATTTTGAGAGGAAAATAGAGAATGGGTTGGAGATTGGGAGGAAGAAGTTGATTTGTTTCTTTGCAGTCATCTAGCAACCCATCTATCTTTCCATCTGCCCACCCAGCAAACAAACATTATGGAACACCTAGTTCTAAGAATAAAGCTTCCTAAATCAGATAGGCCTAAAGTTTAAATCCTGTCCTGTCATTCACTTACCTGTGTGATTCTGAGTGAATTATTTAATCTGTCAAGAATTTAATTTATTAGCTAAAGATAGGACAATATCCATTAAAACTTCATAGGTAGGTTGGGAGGATTCCAGTTAATAATGCTTAGTAAATCCTTGATGTTATGCAAGAAACTCAAAAACACTGAATAACATTTAGCTATTATCAGTGCTCACAGGCTGGAAACACAGATTTATGGACTTTAATGAAATTGGGGCTTGCTAAAGCCCTGGGTACGGACACCTTCATGAGGATGGGATTCAGTTTAGCAGACACTGCTGAACACCTTCTGCCTATACAGCCCCACACCAGCTGGTGTGGGAGGTGGCCCAGGTGGGTGCCTCCGGGAACTCACAGGGCTTCCTTTTAATGCCAGGCACAGTGTGTTAAATACTTTAGTCAGCTCAGTGGTAGAGGGTTAGAAACGATTTTTGGAGAAGGTGGGATTTGAGATGGGTCTCAGAGAATGGGCAGGTCTCCAGTAGGAAGATGTGGAGGTAAAAGGGCTCTTTAGGCTCAAGCAGTGAGTTTATGGAAGTCTGGAAACAGAAGAATGAGGATGTGTATTAAGATTCAAAGGGGCTGGGGATATGGCTCAGTTGGTAGAGTGCTTGCCTTGCATGCACAAGGCCCTGGATTCAATCCCCAGCAACACACACACACACACACACACACACACACACACACACACACACGAGATTCAGGGAATATATGTAGGATAGAATATGGAAACTCTTATTTTAAGAGAATATACGGAAAGAAAGTATTGACATAAAGATGTGTGGTTTATTTTTAGTAAAAATTTCAGAATTTCATTCTGAAGATTTTTGAATTTTTTAAAGAGGTGCTCATAGGGAATTGAAAGATATTTGGTTTGTATTTGAAGAAGGAGAAGGAGGAAGCTACTTAAGGCTGTCTTAGTCTCTTTTCTGTTGCGGTAATAAAATACCACACACTGGATAATTTATAGGCAGCATGATTCCAGAGGCTAGGAAGTCCTAAAGGATGGTACTGCCATCTGGCAAGAGTCAGAGAGAGGAATCAAGAGGGAAGACTTTATAACAACCCATTCCACTTCCTACCCATTCCTCTGTTTGTGGTATTAATCCATTCATGAGGGCAGCATCTTCATGATGTTATTCCTTTTAATGGTCCCACCTCCATACTATGACATTGGAGGGGACATTCAACCCATAGCAAAGGCTATTGAAAGAGCTCAAGCAAGAGCTCTGAGAACCTGGGTGAGATCGCTGGAGGGGGAAAGGAAGGATAGGATAAGAAACTTAACAGAAATAATATTGTGGGGACTTGGTGACTCATTTTTGTGGGGTGAGATGGAAGAGATGGGTTTGCTGAAATGGTAATGCTTTTGAGAATGGGCAGTAGTGGGAAGAGGTTTGGGAGGAAGGACGGCCGCTGCTTTGAATCTGAGGCACTCAGGAGACATCCCTCTGGAGGAGATTTCTACATGATCGCAGGCAGGTCTTTGGGTCAGACTACAAAGTGGGAGCAGGGCTGTAACAGAGGGCTCTCTGCCCAGAGGCCAGCGTGAGGTCAGGGAAAGGAGAAGATGGTCAGAAAGGTGAAGGACTCACCTTTGGAGAAGGACTATTTCAGGCTGAGTAGCAAGAGAGGATCTAGTGACAGAGACAGGGAGAGGAATAGGAGTAAGGTGCAGGCATCCAGGAGGAGAGAGATTTTCAACCACACAGATGGTCAACAGCCTTAAGACAACAAAGAGGCGGTCCAAGTTGTTCATTGGCTGATGTGGTGAAGGCAGAATTTTAGGTATGCACATCCTTGGGTGGCATAGCTGAAGTGGGAATCCTATAGAGATTTTGATCATTTAGCAAAAGATTCATGTGAGAATCTTGGGATCATGGAAGAGTTGGAGTCCATTTCCTTGGCCTTAGAATTTTTTTTTTAACCTACCCCTTGCTTGAATCCTTCCTAACAGTCAATTATCAGCTGGTTTGAAGTTTTTTGAATGTTCTCCTTTATATTCTAGAGTGCAGAATTAAGTGAAAATGGTCCCTGTCTAAAGAAAAGAGGCGTGTGTCCTCTAGGTCTGAGATGGCCAGGTGCTTGGTGTGTCTTTTCTCCAGTTCTATTTTGAGCAAATTAGTTGGGGATGGATGTGGAGATCCTGGCTGTTCTTTCAACAGTGCAATCCTAGAAGACAGTGTATACCTGGGATTCTTGCCTCTGGACTGGAATTGGCCTGAGAGCAAGGAGGCTCCCCTGACAGATGAGCCCCTGAGGCTTCCCCATAGGGGCAGGGCTGGTGTGGGGAGGCTTGATTGTCTTCATTCCCACAGCTCAACTTCTCCAATTGAAGCCAAGGAGCAACTTTCCTTCTCTGTGGTTTATTGTACTGAGTTGAGAGAGTGAGGGGACACGGGGTAGTGGGGGCTGGGAAGAGAACTTTGAGGATCCTCTTTTGAGGGAGGCATGTTGGACTTCCCCAAAATACTGTCACCGTGGACATTATAAATGAAATGTTGACATACATACTGTTTTGGGCTGAAGCAAAAACCTTGGGCCCTGTTTTTCTCCCCACATCCATTGGCCACCTGCCTTACCTTTCTCTGATCTCCTTTCCCTTCCCCAGCTTCTCTCCATACCATTGCTCCCCTGCTCTTCCTCCCCACTCTTGCTGGTCTCAGTGCTTGAATTTGTTGTACCTTCTCTCTGCTGAGGATGCCCAAGTGGAAGGTGTTGCTAGAGGGAAATGGTTTTCATTGCAAATGGGCCCCGTGGGACATCTGAGCTTGCAGCTGGAACTTCATGCAAATGTCACTTTCCTCCACCCTGCCCTCCGCCTCCTGGGAAGCTGGGATGTAGCTTCTGGAGACTGCTCCCTGGGTTGTTCAGGAAGACTGCTTAGGTGTGTGGGACACTCACACACCTTCTCATGCCTTCTCATGCCCTACTCCTTGCTGCTTTGACTTTCCAGTTTCACATTCCCTTTCCCATTTCCCCTGCCTCTTTTTAATTAACCTTTGCCCTTTTCCATCTTTTTTCCTTTCTCCTTCTCTCAATACAAAGGACACTCACTAGAACTTAATTCAATTTCATCTCCCTTTTTTCCCTGTATCTCTCGTACTCCATTTGAAAACACAACCTAAATGTCAGTTAGTAACTTCATTTACAGACCGTCAGCCTTGGTATAATTGGATTTGGTGTTGTAGGAAGTTTCAGGCACTGCTGGAAAAGAACTTGGGGTAGGGGGATATGGAGTGTTAATCTCTACTCCTGGCAGAGGAAGCAGGAACCAGAATATCTTATAAGGAGGTGTGGTTGAGCGACATCAGAAGCCCCAAGTTTTGTGTCTAGGCCCTCTGCAATCAGAGGACCATGCACTGGTCTTCATTTTTAAATACAGGGATTATGGCATTTGCCATCACTACTTTGATGGAATGTTTGAAAATCCCAGTGAAGTATGTCTGTGAATTACTTGAAAAATAGGATTATTATTGTTATTTTAATATATAAATGTGTCCAAACAAAATAGCATGTGTAAAATGAGCTAACAGTATTTGATGATCTCCAATGATTCCTTCAGGTCCTAGGCTCTGTTTTCCCTAAACATTCTTTTTTTAAATAATACAAGTCGGGGCTCAATAATCAGTTGAATGGACAGATATCTAAATATCTAATTTCCTTACATGCCCCTTCCTAGTCCCACGTCCCTTTTCACATTGACACTACTGCCCTCTCCTGGCCATCAGTGTTGTTACAGTATATAAGTCCATGGGGGGGTGGCCCCTCTCCCTGGCTCCCAGAGCTGGCTCCTTTGCACCGTCTTTGGCTTGCAATCACTGACTGCCTACCTTTCCTCCTCCTCCCCTTTCCACCCCATCCCTTTGTCCACCTGTCCCTGTAGCACTGCCAGTAACTCCAACCGCAGCACACCGGCCTGCTCCCCCATCCTCCGGAAGAGGTCTCGATCACCAACCCCGCAGAACCAGGACGGAGACACCATGGTGGAGAAGGGCTCAGATCATTCCTCGGACAAGTCCCCATCCACCCCGGAGCAGGGTGTGCAGCGCAGCTGTTCCTCACAGTCCGGCAGGAGTGGTGGCAAAAATTCCAAGGTGAGCTGGGCCACGCTGACTCTGTGCCTCTGTCGGGGAGGCAGAGAACACCTTCCTCAGATGGCTGAAGGGCCCCGTGTCCCAGAGGTTGTCTCTCCATGAGATGAGGGCGTCCCAGAGGTTGTCTCTCCATGAGATGAGGGCAGGGTGAACAGGAAGAACCCTAGTTAAAAATCTTCCCAGCTAAGCACTAATGTTAGAGGGGTCATGGATTAGAAGATGATGCTCCATCCACCCTATCTCTCTTTGGGAGCTAAGGAGACTCATGTCCCTTGAGATCTGGAAGAGAGATGCTTAAGGGATTGGAGGAGGGGTCATTTATTCATCTCTGTTACAGTCTTCAATTTTGGTCCTCAGAACTGGAGTAGAAGGGAGCATTATCTGAGGACAACTGTGTTCCCAGGGAGATAGTAGATAGTCTTCAGAGAACTTCCCAGAACGCTGTTTTTAACCTCTCTAGCCACCATCCTGCCTCATCTTTGTACTAACCCACTTGGTACTCATCTGGCGGAGAGGGCAGTGAAAGGGCTTTTCCATCCCTTTTAGGCATGTCCACCTGAACACCAGGGCCCCTACCCCCAAGGATATGCACAAAGCCCCAGATTGGTTCTGGTTTCCCAGAGAGTTCCCATTTACCCTTGGTCCTTTGGGAAGCAGGAGGCATACCTGCTCAGGTGCTCCTTCAGGAAGCTTCTCTTCACCAACTGACTCCCAGGACCTGGGAAGGGGCTGGGGACCCCAGGGAGGCATGGGTACTGGTTTCCCACCTGAATTTGTCTTTTGATTTCTTGTTCTTCCTCTTCTTCCCCACCACTTCCCAAATACCTTCTTTGCATGCATGGTCTTAGTCTCACAAGCGCCTCTCAAAAGTAAGCCATCTTTTGTCTCTTGTCTTTTTTATCTCCCCTCTAGTGTGGAATTGTCTGTAGTGCTCAGCATCCCTGCCCTCCACCCCAGCCAATTCTGCCCATGTGTCCTGCTTGGTCCCTTTCCCAGAAGGGCCGGCCCCACTGTTCCCCTGGAAGGCTGGCTTGGAAGTAACTGGGCCCATTCCTATTGCACCTGAGGTCGGAGAACAGACCCTGTCCCTGCTCCCCCATGTCTGCCTGCTCCCCGAACACTGCCTTTGGTTGGAATTTATTCCCTCCTTATATGGTGCCTTCTCGAAGCAGAGTCTGGCAGAGGGAGTTTCATTCCTGGGTGGGGTACGCCCCATCCTGTCATATTACAGGTCCCTATGGCCCCTTGGTGGGTGATTCTGGCTTCTCTGGCAGTAGTGATTTGAGATGGGCAGGAAGGACGTGCTGACGGAGGTCAGGAATTCAGGTCAATGAGTTCTCTGGTACAGCAACAGCAACTGCAGGAACTCTGCCAGGCATGTTCCTCCCCTCCCCCGCCTCGGAGAGCTACTTAGCTAGGGCACCTCTCACTGTTTCCACCCACTTCCCAGACCAAGGCCCTTCACTGCTTCCACCTACTACCCAAGGGTCTGGGTTTATGGTGTTAAGATCCTGAGTCTTGATCAAAGAGGGCGCAGAGATGTACCTGGAGATTGAAGAATGTTGACAGTAACCCAGGCAGGCCCTGGAGAATGGGAGCAGGGCAGGAAGACAGAGTCAGAGTCTTTCCCAGACCTAGGATCTCTGAGGCCTGAAGGGAATTTGAACAAATGTTGGGTAAGCAAAAGGTGTTGTAGAGTGGTGAGGCTCGGGGAATCAGCCCCGAGGAATGGTTGCAGCTAAAAGAAGTGGAAGCTAAGGGAGGATGCCTTGTAACAGCTCCAAGTCCCTGTAGGTGCCTTGGGGAGGATGAGAATGGCAGCAGTTCTTTCTGCTGGAAGAACAAGAGGCTGCAAAGCTAATTCTGCATTCTGTGACCTTTAGCCTGGAAGCACAATGTAGATCTGAGGATGTTCAATGATTGACAGATAGCCGGTTGTGGACAGGGGAAGAAGCCAGCAGGGGCTCTCTGGGTTCAAGTGGTGGGGCAGGTGCAGGAGTGGCTGATTTCTGAAAATGGGGTTTGGTGTGACCTTCATCTGTCCCTCCAGAGTGCTTGTACCTCTGCCATAGTTGATATGATAGTGCTCAAGGCCCAGTTGAGGGGAGGGTTGGTCTGATTGGATGTGGACATCAGGTTATTCTTCCTCTTTGCTTCACCCACTTTTCCATCCTGAGAAGATGTTTTATGGTATTTGGTAGGCACTGTGATTCTTACTGATGTCACTGGTCACCACTTAAAGAGTATGTGCTTTGGGTGGAAGATGGGTTCAATAGGCAAGAACCCAGTAATGAGGATTGATTTCAGTCTTCAAAGTGTTAGTCTTTTGGGGGGAAACCAGGCCCACAATTTAATTTTGGAGGTGTAGACAGTGTTGCCCAGATTATATACAAACCAAACCTTATTTAAAATCTCACAAGTAGGCAGGTATGATGGTATATACCTGTGATTCCAGTGACTAGGGAGTCTGAGGCAGGAGAATCACAAATTTGAGGCCAGGCTCAGCAACATAATGTGGCTTGGGGATAGAGGCCCTTGTGGTAAATTCCTAGAAAACCCCTCTCCCCCCAAAAAAGGGAAAAGCCAAAACAAAAACCATAAGTATTTCAAGATATATGAATTGACAGGCAGGAGAAATCACTGAGATTGGGTAGTCAAGACACATTGCAGAAAACAGGTAGAATCAGAGTAGGGGTTTGGAGAGGCATTACAAAGGAATTGAGAGGTGATCTGTGAATCAAAAGCTAATCTTGGCCCCCACTTCCTAAGGAGCTGAGGTATGGGAGGTGACTGAGCCATTGTGTTTTTCTCTCCCTTTGAGGAGAAGGGATTGAAGCAGAACCATCCAGATAGACACACTCATTGAGTTCCCTGGCTTGGAACACCCATTCCCCACTCCGTTTTCCCACCAGTCATGACTATCACTCTAACCTGGCTGTCCTCTAAACAGAGTGAAAATAGGACCATGGTCCATCTGGGATATGCATGTGCGAGATACACAGACTGCAAAAGAGGGACGTGGGAACCAATACAGGAAAAAGGCTGCATGCAAGCCAGGGCTGGAACAGATTGTGAGGGAATGCTGCAGGGGCGAGGCCCAGAGTGAGGTGTCCTGGTGGAGTGGAGACACACCAACATTCCACGGAACATCTTCCCAGGTTGACCAAATATGTCCATAGTGAGGAATCCAAGAGCCCAGAGCTGTTAATGTTATAATCATAGCTAGGCCACCTCACTCCCTGTCTCCTGTCCATCCACTAGGAAAAGATCAACTCTTGTGTTTTCCATTTAAGCTAAGAATGCCTCCTCTTCTCCCCAGAGTGAGAACTAATGCCCAGTCTCTTTTCTTCTCTGGCCTCTATTTATTCATGTTGGGGTTGGAATAGGCCATCCCTAAGGTCTCACACTCTTGAACTTTATGCAATAGAGGTTGATGCTTTCTTCTTTCCAGAGCTTAGGCTAGGGAACTCAGGCTGACCCCACTCCCAGGAATCCCTGCCCTTGCTCCACCATCCAGACCTTACTTGGTAGTGACAGCCTATACCCACTAGAGGGAGCCAAGGCCTGCTTTCCTGCTACGACCTACTCCTGGAAGTGTCCTCCCCTGCCCTGACCTGCCTAGGTGGTACCAAGGTGATGGGGACAGTAAGTTCTTGGCTTTGGCCCTCCATTGCACCTCTCTGGGTGCATAGCATCACCCTGTGCTGTGGTGCTAGTGCTCCTTTGACATTTTTTCCCTTTTGAAAATATTTCTAATTTCTGTGGTTTCCTTGGTTTTCTTTTCAGTATGACAGACTTAACCTGATCAAAGTAAGATTTTTTTTTTTGTCCCTAACTGCTACTAAATGTAGAGCTTGTAGTCCTCATTCACCCCAGCCCCACCCAGCCCCACCTCCACCCCAATCCTGTCTCCAGGCTCTCTGAGCCTTGGCTCTGGAAGATGTTTTTGGATTTGGAGCAGGAGACTACCTTGAGATGACTTGGGTCTATTTTGGGGGGCTTGGTGTACCTTCCAGTCTGTGCTCTTTAGCTGCCTTCTAGGAAAGGCAATGGAAACACCAAATGAGCCCTGATCCATTCCTGTCTCTGACAGCTCTCTTTTCCCTACTCCTCCTTCACCTTTTGGCCAAATTTGTGTATAAGCTAAAGGAACTCCACTTCCCCTTCCCTAGTTCTGCCCCTTCTTCCCCTCTGGTTCTGTCTTCCAAGTAGGGGTGTTCTAATGAGCTTACAAGGGAAGGCATCTGCCTTTCTCCCCTTCTCAATATCCCAGGCTGGCAACCTCCCTGATTTCCCTGTAACTGGCTCCTTTAGGACTTAGTCCCAGGAATGCACAGCCATAAAGAGGTAATTGACCTCCAAGAGGTTGGTCAAGCTCAGAAACTTCTGCCTGCTATGGATAGTCTCTGTGTCTAGTGTGGATTTTGCTGGAGGCCTAGGTCCTCATTTGCCTCAGAGGCAATCTCAGTGATGACCCAGGAGAAGCTGATCAGAGTTAGCTGGTTAGAGGTGGAGCCAGGAGCCCTTGCTCTGGATGGTGTATTTCACCTTTCGAGTATTTGAGAATATCTGTTCTCATCTACCTTTTTCAAAAGAGCAAATATTAGACCCAAAGTTATCACAGAGCTAGTTAGAGATGAGACAAAAGGGATATTCTGGTTAAAGCTTTTTGTGATGCCTGAAACTCTTTGTTCCATACAGATTCAGAAGGGGCAGGAGTCTTGATGCCAATGCATAGAAGGGGAAAGTCTTTTCTTCTACATGGGACAGGAGGGAGGGCACCATGGAGAGGAATCCCAAAGAATCTGGGATCTCCCACCCCATACCTAAGTTCCAGTTGTCCTCTTTGCTCCTAGGGTCTTATACAAAGGCCAGGACAAAGAATGAGACAGCAGGTGCAGATGATAGAAACCTTTCTCATCTTCAAAGCAGAGGTCTGATGACCTGGTTTGGTATTAATGAAGTTCAAGGAAACTGTGAGGCAGTTGAGGCAGCAACTCCAAGAATGCACCTTCTTGATATTGGGAAGTGCATGCTGTGAACATCTGCACAGCTCCATGCTCTGTGGTCTCAAGTGTCAAGAGTCTCTGTGTGAGCACCCAGGAAGTAAGACATCCCGAGGCACAGATCAAGTTAGATGCAGCCTGCTTGTCCCATCCACCCTCCTCCAGACAAGGGAACCTTGACTAAAATGCTTTTTGGAGAGTTTTCGGGTCTAGGATTCCCATATAGCAATATCCCCTTCCATGATGAAATGGTTGTTCTTGAGTATCCAGATTTAGCCCTTTACCTTCTAAGGCCCTTGGATTGGCAGAGGGGACGATACTATGGTAGCAGTATGTGACTTCAGGATTAGGCCATGGATGGTGTTTTGGGGAATGACCACGGAGAGTCCCTTGCAGAGGGGAATTGAGAGCTAGCTTCCATCTTAGCCACAGTCTTGGCTAGTGAGGTTGGTGCGAGGGTGAAACCAGGGACAGCACGTCCATGGCTAATCCCCCTTTCTTGCCCCTCTCCAGAGCCTCTGCAGATTCATGTTACCATCAAAATGTGTCTCCAGTTTCTTCTGATGGAATAGAAGGGTCTAGTGAGGGGAGATTGGTCTCTTGACTCTCATCATTGTGGTCATGCTCACCAACACCCTGGTCCGGTCACCTTCACCCCACCAGACACATGCTCTACAGACAAGCTGAGTCAGTGGCTGCCCTCTTAACACCAGGGGAGGGGATGAAGGCTGCTAATTATGCATAGGATCCGTACCTCTGGGTCAGGTTGAAGTTTTGACCTGGAGGTGAAGTTTCTGTCTATCATCCCACTGGGATGTATACAAATGAATTCTGTTGGTGGAGATGGGAAATAAGACAAGGCATAATCTAGTCATCCCTCTTCTTTCCTTGGGAGAGTTTCAGATCCCATTTTTCCAGGGGACTGCAAATGGAGAACATCTGAATTCTGGAGCTGGGGTGGAGTATCGTTTTGCTGATACTGAATTACAACACCTGGAGTTGGAAAGGACTTTTAGAAATTACACAAAGAACCCACAGTCATTCCTCTGCTATTATCACTTATCAGCCAGTTGTTGAGATTATAAGAAGGAATTCACTCATCTGCTAACTGAGAGAACAGCTTGAAGGTGATTTCAGGCAGTCCCTTTTCTTCCCCTGTCACCGAAGTGTCCCACCCTGTCTTCTCTAGAGAAGCTGACTTGGAGCAGAAGGCTGGGTTGGTCTCCATCTGTACTTTGCTTCTGATCAGGGCCCATTGGGGACTGGGTCTCGGATGCCTCCAGAGCATCCCGCATCCCCATCAGAAGAAGCTGATGGGGCTCCGACTCCCTTCCAATTGAGTGCTAGCTGGTGCTGCCGCTGCCTGCCTCCCCAACCGCCCCAACCTGGTGGGGCTTCCAGCATGGACTGCTCCCTGGGCCTCCTTTCTGGAGCTGAGAAAGGAGGACCCCTCCTGAGCAGCAACATGGGAAGCATTCAGCTGCACTTGGATTCGTCCTCCCTGCCCACCCTCTGCTATCTATGTGTCCTTCCCTCTGGAGCCAGACTGGCCACTCCCCGCATCTCCTCCATGACTAATTTTACTTTTCTCTTTGATTTGTTTTTTCAGAAAAGCCAGAGTTGGTACAACGTAAGTATTCCTGTTTCTCTTCTTGTCGGGTCTATGGGGGGTGGGGTAGAGGTGGGCAGCTGGGAGGGGGAAGTGGGAGTGCTGTTTGGCTTCCCCATGGCCTTTCCCCCTAATCTGCTTCCTCCTTCCCCAGACCAAATAGAAGAGTTTTCCTCTGTAGCAAGACAGGGCAGCCCTGGTGAGGGAGGTTTTGATTCAGTGACACCAGGAGGGATGGTCTGGTTTATCCCCTGTGGTCTCCCAGAACTCTTGGATAAGCCCCTTCTGCATCCTAGAAGGGGAGAAGAGTCTGAGAGGACTGGGGCAGGGGTATGAACTTCAGGCCAAACTTTCCATCCTTTAATTAAGACATCTTGGGGGAGATACAGCCCATAGGACTTTCCTTCAGGAACTGAGAGGCTGTCCTATGTAATGTAGTTTGGCTTCTGCCCCAAAGCATGCTCCTCCCAGAAGACATCCCCTGACCTTGGGTCTATGGTGAAGGTGTGATTAGGACCATTTCTTAAGTCACTCAGGGTGGCACTTCAACCATCCATCCACTTTTTTCCATATTGAGGAAGTGTTTGCGGAGTAAGCAGTCCTTGCAAAAGCCACATCCTCTTGGTCATATACACTGAGGTTTAGGACTTTGAACTCTTCCTCTGAAGAGGGGCTGACCAAGGTCTCTCAGCCGGCCTTTCTGGGGGAACTGGCTTGTTTCACCATGGCCTGGCTTCGGATCTCACCTTCCTTTCTCTGAGCCTGCTGGCCTTTGTACTAGACTCTGATCATGGGCATGCCATCTTTGGCCCCTCCTGACATGTGGTTTTGCTCCAGCAGGAGGTGTGGATGCAGAGAATGTGTCAGGGAAAGGGCCTGTGAATGACAGATGGAGGGCAGAGAGAGTGGTCCCTGGAAGGGGCTTGGGTTTCATATGGGATTGGGTCCAAATCACACATGTGGGCTGCGTGTTTTCATACATGGCAGCAGTTCCTCAAAGTCGGGAACATGCCATCTCATTTTGTGACTTTCCACCTTGAGCCGCTTCGTGGCCTGTCTTTCGTGGGTGTTATTGATCGATCTGCAGGCCTCAGCCCCACCCAGCATCCCAAGTGAGCTTTGCTGATAGGAGGGAGTCAAGGGTTGAGATGGCCTGGTGTGGGAGAAAAGCCACAACACTCATGTTTGCTCCTTCCCTCTTGACCCATCACGGGGTCATCTGGCCTCAGGTCTCTCCAAACTACTCAGAGCTCCTGTGCTCGAGGATCCAGAAGCACCCTATGATGGGGAGGGGAAGAGGAGTGATAGCTGTGCTTTCTGGGAGCTGTCCCTGTCCCAGCTGTGGTCAAGACATCTTTTGCCCAAGAATTCCTTTTTGAGCAGCACTGCATGAAATAGAGCCCCCAAAGAGGAACAGAAAATACACACTTGCAGGCTTACTAGAGAATTAAAACACGCAAATTTGAACATTAAAGTCCTTTTTCTTGTGGCTGATATCTTCCTCTTATCTTTCTGTTTCTCTCTTTTGTTGCTTTTTAGCTCAGTCCCTTCTGTTTTGTCTTGCTTTTCCCTTTCTTGTGTATTTCTCTACTCTTTGCTCTCTGACCACCTTTCTCCCATCTTTTTTTTTCTCCAGCTCTGGTTCCATCCTCCTGCCTGGCTTACTTTTTCCTCCCTGATTCTAATAGCTTTTACTTTCTCTCTGCTACCCCTTTCACCTCCAAGTCTTTTTCCTTCAACCTCACATAGACTCAGTTTGGTGACAAGCTAGGAGGTGCTATCTCTTGGCTAGAGGGTGGGTTGGGCCAGCTGCCCTCTGGGGTCCCGGAAGCCCGGGTTACCCTGACCGTGGAGGAACCGAGCATGGCTGGAGCCCTAGTTCCTGGCTGATTCTACTTGCAACCAGAGACTTGCTACAGCAGTGGAACCTCACTGACCCTTCCAGCCCTCCTCCAGGGTAACCAGCCTGGGCGAAGCCCTCTGCCCTCTGTGTGGCTCTTTGTGACTGCCCGCCATAGGGCTCTTTCTTCTTGGCCCTGCTGAATGTCTGCAGTAAAGTCCTGACGCAAGGCTCTAGTGGTGCAGGCAGCAGAAAGGAATAAACATGAGGAGAGAAAGAGAAATAGCAGGTAAACATTGAGAGGAAGAGGCAAAAGCTGAGAGGTGGCAAGTGGCCCCCAGTGGCCTAACTACAGAGGTCAGGAGGCCTGACTGGGGTTTACACAGTTGATCATCTCTTATTTCATTTTATTTCCATATTTCCTTCATACATTTTCATCACCAGAGGTAGCACTTCTGGAAGGTAATCAGTTACTGCCATACTGGAGAGGCCAGTAGAAAGCAGCACTGGAAATGGGCCTGCTTGGGACAATACCCTCTGCCCCCAAGTAAGAACCTTGCTTTCTTCCTGAGGCCTAGGGTGACCCCCCAGCTTGGAGTTTTCCACAGCTGGGCATCTGTGGAGCAAGCAGAGTGCTGCCCGTTATACTCCCTAGAAGTCTACCCTCCCAGGTCCTCTCTGATAGTGCCAGCATACTTACCCATGACACTGGCCCAAGTGTGGTTGTTTCCAGGCTGGAACAGCAAGCCCTGACCTGGTTGTTTCCAGAGTCACCTGAATCAATACATAGAAAGTCTCCTGGCACCTGCCATGCCCACACCTGTGCCCTGGGCTGACTGGGCACCCTCTCTTTCAGTGCACACACATGGGCTATGCTCTTGTGTTCAGACGTGCTGTCAGGGGAAGCAGCTCCCCAGCAGTGCCCTGCCGTTACTCACTTGCACTCCATCAGGAGGCCCAGCCCTGCCTCTGTTGCTTTGACCTGGCTTCTGTTTTTCTTCATCTCTCAGACCTCTTATCTGTCACCTGCAGTGCCCTGGGCTAGTTGGAATCTGACCTCCAGGGAGGACCCCCATCTCCCCTTCTTAGTCTGCCCAGCAGTGTTTCTTCTAATCTTTTTCCGGATACTACTGTCAGCTTTCCAGCTGTCCTGATGCCTCAGACTCCATCATGGTACTTAGAAGTCCTTCAGGCTTTGCAATTCCGAGCCCTGGGGAGAGTTAGATACCCTTGGCCAATGAGGGAGAGAGCAGTGACAATCAGGACTCAACAGAGTGCTGCCCATTGCCTGGGCATCCAAGGCCCATTTGAGTATGATGTGAGATACTGGCCCACCCACCACCTCCCCACCCACACTCCAACCTCCACTTTCACCTGCCACTTGCCTGCAGAAGATGGAGCATTTTATTTAATTTATTTAGCCAGGGAGGAGCTGTCATCACTAAGACAAACTACCTTGATCTAAAGAGTGGGTTACACAAGGGATGTGGCTGGACCCTGGGATAATCCCTTGTGGAATGGCTATAGAGAGGCAGCATCAGGTCAGGGGTGGGGTTTGAAGAGCCTGCCTTGTACCACTGCCCTGAGGCCAGGTTACACCTGCTTCTTTTTTTCCTTCTTTACCACCCCAGTTTTATTCAGCAAAGTGTCTAGTTCAGGGGGTGAGGCATGGCCCCTGCGAAAATGAGATAGAGATATAAGCAGAGATGGGCCTGTGCCTTCAGCAAAGAACCATGGGATGCGTTGAGGGTAACAAAGTCAGGACCAGAGTGGGCATGAGTCTCAGGTGAGACAGGGTCACAGAGGTCTCTTGGCTGTGCCTCAGCTGGGCAGATAACACCCAACTCTACCTCATCTTACTACTGAGGTGTCAGCCATCTCCATGGCAACCAGGACAGGAGCCTCATGCTAGGCAGAGACCTAGCATCCTAGTCACCTGCTGCTCCCCCATTAGGGATACTGGCTTTCTGGAAGGGAGGAAGAGTCAGTGGCAATCCTGTGTAATGTCAAGCAGGTCTGGATGGCTCGGTTTGAATGCCAAAGAACAAAGCTTTGTAGGAATGATATTCCAGGTGTTGTGGTTAGAGGCAGTGGAGAAAGTGGGAGAGCTGAAAGGAGTCCTCCTGCCTTAGCCACCTGAGTCACTGGGATTATAGGCATGTGTCACTGTGCCCAGCATTTACAGATAACTTCAAGAGTCTTCCTGATCTCTTCTCCCCCTGACATCCCATCCTTAACTCTCTCCAGAGTAGTGTCACCTCTGCAGGTGAGACCCCTTTCCCAGCCCACCTCTTTCCCCACCCTTCTGCCTCGTACCCATCCCTGATGCTCAGTCACCATTCCCTGTTGGTTGTCCCAATCTAGCTTTATCTGGCTTCTGCCTACCAGATTAGGTTGGAGCACCAGGATTTCCTTTGTGGATCTTAACTAGTTTCTCCGGGTTTGGGGGGGGGGGCGGTATGTGAGGTGTTCTACCAGAATCCATTTGTTTTTCTCCTTAGTGCCCCACCTCCTCCTTCCTGCTGAACTCGGGAAGGGGGTACCATTTGGTCCCAGTACCTGATGTTTGCCATAGAGTTAATGTTTAGCCCAAGGTAATTCCTGGTGCTCAGGCTCCTGCCCTGCCCTGCCCAGCCCTTGGTGAGTGGATAGAGGAAACCAAGACTGAGGCTTACTGAGACTCATCTCCCAGGGTGTTATCTCTCTGGGTGTGTACTTTTCCTATCTCACCTAAATAGTGGCTTGTATCAATGGCTTGTAATCAAATGTTTCCTGGGAATTATTTTAATACTTAGACTTTTAGAACTATCTACCGCCTCTATCTTGGGGTGTGGTGTGGCTCTGAAGAGGGGAAAATGGAATTGCCGCATTGAAAATGGAATTCATGGTGCTGAGGGTGGAACTGACATGCAAGACAGAGAGAAGCTTGACAGTGCTGGAGAGACTGTGAGCAGGGACTAGGCTTTGAGAAGCCAGGTGTGCAAGTCAGGGATCCCCAGATGAGTAAGCATGTGTGCACACAAAATGCATCGTTGACGGGAACAGTTAGAGAGGGGTATAAGGAATGCATTCATTTGGTAAATAAATTTTGAACCCCTGCTACTGAAACACATCATGTTGACTTCTGTGGAAGCCATGAAGCTGTTTGAAGCATGGATCCTTCCTGGGGGAGATGGAAGTCCAATGAAGTGGGTTACCTGGCACCATGAATGGAGGCTGTGGCAGCCTTCAGTGGGTGTCTGTTGAGAGGGAGGCAGAGGGGATTGTTAGGAGATGATTTGGGGGAGATTTACCAGGGTCAACCCAGATTACTCTTGATTAACATCTTTGGGTCTAGGACTCAGGAGTCTGTTTTCTTTAATATGTTCACTGGGTGATTTTTAAATATTGCTGAAGTTTGAGTGCTACTGTAGTACCAAACTCCTAAGGCTCCTAGGACAGAGGCACTCTGTCCTTCCTCAGGAACAGGCCCAAGACCCTCCTGGTAAGGTGGCCTAGTTGGGGAGGGTGAGGGAGCTGCCCCAATCTGCGTCTCTGCAGTCCCACTGTCTCAGGCCTGTTTTGAGTGCCCCTGTCTGGAGGCTTTCTTGCCCCTATTGGCCTAGCTCCCATTCTTCTCAATATTTGGCTGCCCCCTCTGACAAGGGGCCAAATTCTCTGCACTTAGCATTGCTCCTTTGCCCTCAAGGTCTGAGCAGTTGTCTGCGAATCCATTTGGCCTCCATCCCCCCTCCTATTAATGCTGAAGGTGGGGCAGGGTCTTTGGAAAGGAACGAGGTGCCTCATCCAGACCCCAAAGCTGTTGACCTCAACTTCCCCAGGCTATCTGCCCAACTTCTTCCAGGCTAGCACATGTGAGACTCACTAGATCTGTTATTAAATCCCAAGTCACCAGCAGCAGTTACAGGGCAGTTGGTACATGGATGGGCCAGCAAAGGGAGAGTGTGTCCCTAAGAAGTCCCTGGCTGTCTGAGTCTCAAATTTCAGATTTCATCATAAGAGTAGTGCCCTTAGCACCTCCCCTGCCTCTCCCCCCACTTGGAGCCCTGGCCAGCAACTTTCCATTGCAGGAAACATCTGCTGGGGAGGCCAGGCTGGGCCAGGGGTTACTGCAGGACATTGGCCAGGACCATCACCCAGATCCTGTAACTTGAAGCATGTGCAGGGCTCTGGCCCTTCCCGCCCACCACCCTGCCTCCCTCCCTCCTGCCACGGTGATTCTTAACAAAGAAGTTGTTTGCTGTCCAGCTGAAAGGAGCGGGGTCTAAAGGGAAAAGGGGTGTGTTGCAGGGGTGGGGAGGAGAGCAGGCTGCTGCTGACTGGTGGCCGCTCTGCCTGGGTGAGGGATGTGAGTCATAGCAGCCCCAGCCTGCCCTGGGTAGATTGCATGTTGATTAACGTGCCACTCTGTGGGACAGATCGAGACTGGGGAGCTGAGCCTTCAAGTGGCTCTCCGGAGCTTCCCACCAACTATGAGTCACTTGGCTGTGTGTGAGTAGCTGGACCTCTGGACCTGGCCGTGAGGCATTCTATTCCTGGGAGGTTTTCCTGTCCACCCGGGGCCTGCCCTTGAGAACCCTCAGCCAGCACTATCTGCCTGCTGTGTCTGCATCTTCAGGCCTCTGATGGACACTTGGGGTGACTGCACTGATCAAGGAGGTGCTTGACCACAGCCCCTCTGGGCTACCTGAGCCTGAAGACCTGCCAACAAGGACAAAGCAGAGCCCAGCTGTGGGTCACTGGTCATCCAGCCTGTCCCAGGAACCATGCTGATCACATCCTCTCACTTGTGAAGCTTTTCACAGCTCTGGGAGAGAAAACGACATTGGCTGGGGTCACACAGACCCTCTGTCCAAAAAGCCAGAGGTCATCCTTCTGCAATTTAGTCCCAGTGAGGCCACTTGTTTTCATCCTGTGGGGACAGTTGGTAGTCAGAGCCAAGGAGCTGGGCTCCACTGGCAGAGGGAGCTGTGGAAGAGTGTTGCGATGGAATCTTTGATGGAGTCTGGGGTTCTCTGGAGCCTCCTGCTGGAGCAGGAAAGCCCGACGTTATGGTGGTCCTCAAGGAGATTTCTCGATGAACCTGCTGGTGCTGGACACTGTTGCTTGCATGGATCTGAGGAAGTCCCAGCCGTGAGTGTGTGACCTGATTTCTCTCTGTGACCAGTTTTTGTACCCTCACATGCCCCACTTGGCTTTGCCCCCCAAGGGCCCCAGATTTGACAACTCTTGAACCAAACTTCTTCAGCCATTTAAATAGGCGAGCCATGCTTCACCTTTGGAGGAGATTGCTTTAGGAGTGCCTGGGGTGGGAGGTCGAGGGCCAGGGTCCCCTGGCTTCAAGACAGCATGTGGTTGCAGGCCAACCATGCCCACCTAATGTGTCTCTGCACTTTGGGTTGCAGTGGGGAGAGGCTGGTCACTCGCACTGATTGAGAGCCTGGTAGAATGAGGATATCTCTGTGCAAATATGGAGTAAATCTTTAGAAGACTCGCTTGCCCCCTCTCCACCACTATAGCTTTGTTCTAAGCAGAAGAGAGGAGTAGCACTCTTGATCTGCCTGCGTTTGGGAGATTGTGGCCAGACTCCTGCACTTCCATCTCTATAGATGTCTGTGGCTCTCACTGGATATAAGAGAAACAGGGGGGAGAGGGCAACATGGAAGAAAACCTAGAAACAGGAGAACTTCCAGGCATCTGTTTCCTCATCAGGATGTCTCATTATGTTCAGTTTCACCTGAAAGGGTTTGGGGCCACTGATTGGCCACTCCTCAGTCTGATCCTGGAAGGCTGGTGGGGCCGCAGAGCAGGTGAACATCTCATCTTGAGAGATTGGGCTATTGTGGATGGCTCTTGTTTCCTCCTTGGCACAAGAACAGGGCTCGGCCTCTTTGTACCTCACTTTCGTTCAGTATAAGGTAGGATAATAAAAACCACCTTGTGGTCAGGTGCAGTGATGCATGTGATGGGCTGAGTCTGTGCTTGTTATATGGTAACAGCTCTTTCCATGTCAGGTTCACTGCAGTTCTAGAAGGCTAGTTAGACAGGAGGGGACCATACTGGTGACCAGGTAGTAAAGCAAGAGTTTCCAATGTGTGGACTCTGTTCCAAGAGGCCAGGGGGCCATGTGGGTTAGATGACTCAGTGCCAGCCTGGAACTAACACAAAGACCAGAAGATTATTGTATCTGAGGTCTTTTTTGGCCATAGAAGTCATAGGATGGGTAGGCTTTTTGATGTCAACCTGCAATTGTCCTGATTCAATCCTGGTTCAAACACATGGCAGGTGGTTTTGAAAGTTGGGGTTCTATGAACACATGCCATTGTTTGGGGGGAAGTTAACAGGGCACACATTATTGCAAGTGGAGCTCATTCTGTAAATAAGCCAAGAACAAAGGCTGAAAATTTAATTAACTGGACAAAGTAGTGAGAAATACTTTTTTCCTCCCTTGTACTTTCCTGTGTTCATCTCCCCCAAACCTCCCCAAACTAAAGGCATGTCATTTTCTCTCCCCGTATCTTCCTGAAAGCTCCTCTTTCTTTAGTACAAAGACCATTTGACCACAGCTCAGGTAGGCAGTGCAGCGTGCAGATGTCAGCAGACCCCAGCTTTGGTTCCCTCATGATCCATTTAGCTCTGTAGAAAACACCCCAAATGAGCAGTCGAAAGGTTGTTCCCTCACCACCACAGCTTTATGCAGCAGATTCCCAGGGAAGTGGGTGAAAAAGTGAAAAAGGCCAAGACCCATGTGTCACCACCAGCAGGACGATCCGTCCTCAGGCACGAGCTCCTGGCTGAGGGTCAATAGTATTTTTTTTTTCTGCATAAATAGGTCAATGCATTGCCGGGTGGAGTGCAGATGTCCTTCTGTGTAGTTTATGTTTCATCATTGAGTGTCCTTTGTCTTTGGGTACTTACATTTTTTTTTTTGTTTGTATTTATTTAGTTTTAAGATTGTTAAGAATTCCTCTATTTATTCACCTGGCTCATCTCTAAGGAGGACTTGCTAAGGCAGCCCATGAGTTTGAGGCTGTACCAAGGCCCCTGTGAAAATGAGGTGGGCACAGGGGGCATCTTAGTGGCCCAGGTGGTGGTAGGGCACAGGGCAGGGCCAGAGATGCAAAGTATGTTGCAGGGTCAGATTCTCTGCGCTTGTTTTCCCTACCAGGTTCCTGCTCCTCAACTGGCCTCCTAGGGCTTATGTGATAACAGAGTCCCCATTTTTTAGTCTTGTCACGGGGCCAGTGGTTGTGTGAACAGGGTCTGGGGGCTTCTCTCTGGCCTTAGTTTCTTCACTGGTACTGTAGGTGTTGGTGGATCATCTTGTAAAGATGGGAAGGGAATTTGGTGCCTTGTGTGCCGGATATGCTTTTAAATCCTCTATCCCATGTGCTTTTTTAAGCACTGGTTTTATGATCTTTTTAAAAAGCACTGTTACAATTTTTTTTTCTAAGTCATGTCTCACACACATCCAGGTTCTCACTGTGTTAGTTATAACAGCAACTTCTGAAAGGTGTGCTCCCCATCCTGTCTCAAGTCCTCCTGGGTGCTGATTTGTCTCCTGAGGCCCCTGCTTCACTCTCTCAGTGGTTCTACCAGCTGGCAGAAAGCAGAGCACCAACAGCTGGCATGGTGGGCTTCAGGAAGCAACCTGCAGGTGTCCCTTCTTCCTTTGTCTTCTTGGTACATAAGTGGGCCCTGGCTTTATTTTTTGATATTTTCTCACCGATGGATGCTGGACACACAGTTTTGCAGGATCCAGTTCTCTGCACTGTTGTTCCATGCCAAGCGCCCTTTCCTGAGCTGGCTTTCTAGGGCCTCTAGGGTAGCAGAGCCTTACCTTTACCTATTGAACAGAAGCAAGTGCTCCTCTAACCCACAGAAACTGAGTACTTTTCACTAACCATGGCCATTGTTATGCAGGTGTTAAGCCCCACTTACAAGCAGAGAAATGAAGACTTCAGAAAGCTCTTTAAGCAACTTCCAGACACGGAGCGCCTCATTGTTGGTGAGCTGGGAACCCTGGGAGGGGCCAGGCAGAAGTCTGGGAGTTGTAGAGATAGCACCCAGACTGCTTCTGGCTAGAGGCTGAGAGCCTACCCAAGTGAGCTTGTATATCTGGCAACTGGGAGAGAGCATGTCAGAGCACTGGCCCTGGCAGGCAGGGCTCTGGGCTGAGCACCCAGTTTATGGCAAGAGCCCAACCTATAGGAAGTACCTGGAACACTTACCTCTGTAGATGATCAAGCAGTGGAAGGGATTGGCATGGTCATCGGTGGTGGAAAAGGAATTGAATTTTATTGATCTCCTTATCCCTAGCCCCCTCTGCTGTCACATTCATTCTGCCGCTAGGCAGTAGCGTATTTTACCACCTCCATGTTTCTGATCATGAGATGCCTGGGTCTTCTTGGCTGCTAGTTTCAGTGTCTCACACACCGAGTCACCGTAGGCGATTTGGTTCCCCTAGTGCTGGTGGTGGGAGTGATGACAGGTCTAAAGTTTGCTAAAAATGCTTCCTGCCTCTGAGCTTCCTCTTGTCCTGCTTCCTACCACAGATTACTCATGTGCACTCCAAAGAGACATTCTTCTTCAGGGCCGACTCTACCTCTCAGAAAATTGGATCTGCTTCTACAGCAACATCTTCCGCTGGGAAACTCTGGTAAAGATCTAGGACTCAGGCTAGGGGTATAGTTTAGTGGTAGAGCACTTGCCTAGCATGTGCAAGGCAACATGGTTTGATTCCCAGTCCTGGGAAAGAAGAAAGAAAAGACCTGGGACTTGCTCCCTTGGGCTGTCTTCTTGGCCAGGGCTGAGCAATTTGCCCTCACTTCCCTCCTTTGCCTGACTTTGTATTCTCTTCAAACCTTTGCACAGTTTACAAAAACACATGACAGAGTCTTAAAGGATATCCATTCCTGTATGAGTCCCAGTAGTGGGGTCTCCTCTGCCATATATTTCCCTCCCACCTTTTGGATGTGGAAGAGGGCACAAAGAGCATTTACTTTCTGCGAATGCAGTTATTTAGTGTGAGTTAACTGCAGAGGGAGGCATAGTAGACAGGGCATTGACCTTGGGGCTCAAAAGACTTGGCCTGCATGTTTTCTGGGTTCTGCAGTTAATTAGCTGTAGGATGATAGGCCAGTCCTTTCCTTCCCTCATTCTTATAAAATAGAGAAAGATTAAGTGGATGATTTTTATTGTTCTATCCAGCATCTATGTTCAGTGTTTCTTTAAGTGGAAAAACCTTTGCAGTGTCACCACATATTTAGCAGACTAGAAATGAGAAAGAAAGAAAAAATCTTCCTAGACCAAGAATCAAGATATATATCCATGACTGTAGACAAGGCTTAGTCTTTACCTCGCTATGTGGCCAGTGTGACAGAAGGGGGTAAACCAGATGATCTCAAAGGTGGTCCCTTACAGGATTAGAAATATGTGAGCCATGATCTGATTTCCTCTGTCTGCATTGATGCTGCCCCACTCTACCTAATTCTTTGTTGCCTCCTCTTGTTGTCCATTCTCTGTCCCTGCGGGGGTGCCAGCTGACAGTCCGTTTGAAGGATATCTGCTCCATGACAAAAGAAAAAACAGCTCGCCTCATCCCCAATGCTATCCAAGTTTGCACTGATTCAGAAAAGGTAAGTGCAGCCAAATTCTGGCCTTTCTCCCCGCCCACCCTGCACCCTTCACACCCTGCTTTCCCTACTCCTGTATTTCTGCCCTTAAATTGCATTAATCTGAAGGCTAGGAGGATTGGGGCAAAAGGCCATGAGGGAGAAGCGAACTCCCAGAGCGACTCTTGGCATGGCATGGACAGGGTGGCTAGAGGCTGAGTAGGGGGAGAGGGGCCTGGTGCAGCACTGAACATGGAGCCAAAGGACCTGAATGTGGGCCCCATGACTGTAGGCGCTAGGTAACCTCTCTGAGCCTGTTTCCTCATGTGTGAAATTGACCCAGTATCCAAACCGAGCATTGAAATAACATCACATACTTGAAAACATTAAGTTGTAAAGCACTATACAAACTGGAAGTAGGTCTGATAGGAAATGGGTTGTCCTTATCAGTATGAGGAGAATGTGGTAGATAAAATTTAGGATAGGAAAATCAGTGATCTTTGACCTTTAAGCAGAACTTGAAGGCAAAGAGATCCAAAGCTAAGGGTAGGCTAGGTTTCTGTGGAAGACAGTCTACAATTCCCATGACTCAAGACAGTTCAGTGGCAAGAGCCACGAATGTGTGGAATCAGCTGGCCTTTGGTTCAAATTCTCTTTCTGGCACTAACCATCTTTGTGATCCTGGAGGCTGCTAACCTCATCAGCCTGGCATTAATTGTTAGCACTTTTATTCATTGTCCAAGGTTTTTTGTGTGGCTTGTACAAAATAGCATTTGTCAAGCACTGAGTAGGTACGTGCACAGTAAAATTTAGTTTTCCACTGCTTGCTTCCTGCTTATTGTAAAAGATCTTCATTAATGGGTTAGCTCTCTGGGAGCAGGATCCGTTTCTGTTCTGTATCTGTTGTACCTTAAACGTAGAATAGTGCCTAGCTCCACAAATATTCAAATAGTAGTTGAATGAATTAGAAGTGTTAGTGAGTCCGTGGCTGTATGTAATCCTTCCAAATAGCTTAGTTGCCAGCTAAGTTCTTACCCAGTTCCAGTAGGTGGGTAAAGGACTTTTGGGTAATGAGGATTGAACCCAAAGGTGTCTTACCAATGAGCTACATCCCCAGTGTTTTGAGACAGGGTTTTGCTTTGTTGTTGAGGGTCTTGTTAAGTTGCTGAGACTGGCTTTGAACTTGTGATCCTTCTGCCTCAGCCTCCCAAATCATTGGAATAACATGCATGTGCCACTGTGCCAGGCAGGGCACAGTGCGGGTAAACCAGATGATCTCAAAGGTGGTCCCTTCCAGGCTTAAAAATATTGCCTCTGTCTGCATTGCTGCTGCCCCATCTCTCTTTTCCTAACTCTTTGATGCCTCCTCTTGTTACGGAGATAAAAGTTTTAAACCAGAGAGGAAAATACTGAAAAGGATGTAGTAAAAATTCTGAAGGATTTGATAATAGTGAGGACTTAGAGGTCCCAGGTACACAGGTCCCCAATATGTTGACCTGTCATTAGCATACCTGTGTACTGATTATGAATAACTAAAAGTCATTAGTGTTTGAGGATGAAGTCAGTATCTTTAGTTTAAAAGGAAGACCATGTCTCCATTCAATATATTGTAAATCTTAACTGATATTTCTTGCCGTTTTGTCTTCCAATCTAGCACTTTTTCACTTCTTTTGGGGCCCGGGATAGAACCTATATGATGATGTTCCGGCTCTGGCAGAATGCTCTCCTTGAGAAGGTAAGTACTGCCCAGCTGTTTCCTTCAGCCTTAGGATGTACATCCACCCAGGATATTGTTCACACTTGGGTACTGACCTCATGGGAAGATTGCTTCAAGGGAGTCTGTGTCGCCTCATGGTCTGGAAATCCCCCAGACGATGAGGGGCACATTCTTCCATGGTAGTATTGATTCTAAGTCCTGAAAGTTCCACATTGCCAGAGAATGTCCTCAGCACTACTAGGAGGAAGACACTTGTGAATTAAGGCATGTTGGTTTCACTGTTTTAAAATGAAATGGGATTTGAGAAATCATATTTAGTAAAACATGTAGTTAACAGAATGACTGTCATGAAGGAAGAAGCTTTTAGATCCACAGATCCCTAGAAACAAGGGGACAGCCTGCCTCACCGGGCCACCGGGGAAGCACCAAGGTCTATCAGGAGGTGGAGGGATGAGGGGAAAGCCTGGGCAGGAGCCTTTTTTTTTTTTTTTTTTTTAATTTAAAAAATATTTTTAGTTGTTGATGGACTTATAAATTAACTAATTAATATGTGATACTGAGAATCCAACCCTCACAGGTTTAGGGTTGGCTAGTTTGAATAATCTTACCAGACTTCAAGGTATGGGGGACTGTCTTTCATTGTCTGGTACCTGGCCCTGAGGGTACCAGGTCAGGCTGAATAGAGAAGTGTGGATATGAACTTTGGATTAATTGGTTGCATTTGAGTGACTTATTTTCTGTCTCTGGAATTTGCAAACCGTGGGAGGTTCCAGACTTTTCAATAAAGCTGCAGAAACCAGAGAATCAAAACAGGAAAGAAGAAAATTTAGTTAGGATATCTACCAATTGACTTTTGAAATGTTTGAATTACCTGGGAGGAAACAGATTATCATGGTCCCTGCCCTTAGAGATTGCCCTCAAATGCAGTTAGGTATTGACAAACTCTCCAAGCTGGAACAAAAGACAGGAAAAAGCTATGTATATGATTTCCCTCAGGGATTAGTGTACAAATACGATTGCCATGTATGTATTTGAATATGTGCATGTATCTGCCTTTATTCTAATCAGTTACTAGCTGAAGAAATTGAGCAAATTTATTTAGTTTCTTTTCATCTGAGAGACTGGTTAAGTTTTTATGGATTTTTTGAGCTGAGTTCTTCTGCCTTTATTAATAATCGAAAATGGTAAAATGATAATGTGTTTCCTACAGCAGGTATGAATTTTCACATCACAACCACTGTCATTTCTAAATAAGACATCCCTACAGCTTCTAAATGTCTCATAAAATAATTATTAAGAATTCTAAGCTGGGCACAGTGTCTCACACCTATAATCCCAGCTACTTAGGTGACATAGGCAGGAGGATCACAAGTTTGAGGCTAGTTTAAGAAACTTAGGGAGACCCTGTCTCGAAAAACAGGGATATAGTTCATTAGTTCAAGTGTGGGGATATAGTTCATTGGTAGGGCATCCCTGGGTTCAGTCCCCTAACTCATCCCAGCCCCCGAGAAAGAATTCTGTCTGATGATGAAGACTGTGCTTGTCCTGACAATGGTCAGACCAGCTGAGCCAGGTAGAACTGGTGAGGGAAGGCAGCACGGAGAAGTTGAATGGAAAAGCAGGCTAGGACTTGGTTTGGCAGACAGCAGATGTATCCCAGGGTGTCCGTGAAAGTCAAAGATAGGAGGGAAGAGGTCCTGATAGAGGAGAAGGGGATGTCTCCCTTCTGGTCCACAGATGGGCTTCTGACAGCCATTCCAAGTGGTTTTCCCAAGCCATAAAACCAGAAACATGGCCTTCCTTGTCTATTACTTCAACAGAAGTTTGCAGAATGGGATCAGCTGGCCCCTGGAAGATAGTCACCACACTACCTTGTGCTTATATTGATAAGTTCCAGGACTGGATGGAATAAATCCATGTTACTTTAAGGCCAGAGTAATTTCAGAGCTTCTGGCTTGGACTCAGAGTACACAGAGAACCCCTGACCCAGCCTCCCACCCAGTGTAGCCACCGCCATCTATATTAACTATGGCCATGCAGGCCCTACTAGGCCATGTTTCTGGCTTTGCTGAACTCCACATTCTTAGGCTGAGATCCTAAGCAGATGGGATTGTCATGGAGGTGCCCGCAGTCCTCTAGTTCAGCAAGTAGTTTGACAACCTACCTCTAGGGGTGCTAGTCTGGCTCAGTGCCTCTGTAGAACAGGTGAATTTGCACAGGAAGGACCTGAGTTGTGGCTCTTCTCCCCTGTAGCCCTTGTGCCCCAAGGAGCTCTGGCACTTTGTACACCAGTGCTATGGGAATGAGCTGGGCCTGACCAGTGACGACGAGGACTACGTGCCCCCTGACGATGACTTCAACACGATGGGGTGAGTGAAGCCGAGGCTTGGCTGCCCAGGGAACCTGGGGATACAAAAGCAGAGAAGGCCTCAGCACATGTACATCTGAGTCAGGCCCTGAAGGCAGTGGGGGTGGGAACAGCCAGCAGGCCTGTTGCTGCAGAACCAATAAGTTGGCGACAAAGTTAGGAAGGTTGAAGAGGCAGAAAGTGATGGACTTCGAACCATGTGATGATTGGCTTTTGTTCAGTGGGATGGGAAGGTTGGGAATAGATAATGGATAAGGTCTGACTTACCATTCTAAGAGGATCACTCTGGCCTCTGTGTTAAATATGCTGAAGGGAAACAAACAGAAGTGGAAAAACCTGTGGAGAGGCTGTTGAATAATTTAGATAATTTGGATGAGAGATGGTGGCTGAGACCAGGAAGGTAGCAGTAGAAACAGTGACGAATAGTTCCTGAATATATTTTGAAGGATTTGTTGATGGATCAGAAAGGAACCAAAGATGGCTTTAGAGTGTTTTAGTATTATCATTTGGGAGGATGGAGTTGTTCTCAAACTGAGATGAACAATACTGATGAACAATACTGTAGGCAGAACAATTTTGGAGGGAAGCTTAAAGGTTGGTTTTAGGCAAGTTGAGACTGAGATGCCTGTTAGCCCCGTATAGAGGTCAAGTAGTCATTTGGAATGAGTGTGGAATTCACTGGAAAGTCTGGAAACTCAGGAGTTACTAGTTTTTAACCATGAAGTTGGGTGAAAACTTCATGTAATCAAGTAAACCAAAAAGTGGAAGTTCAAGGGCTGGGCTTGGGAACACTCAGTGAGAAGAAGCAGAACAAGAGATCTTAAAAGAAATTCCAGTGAGGTAAGAGTGATGCTACAAGAGTTTAGAATCATGGAAGCAAGGAAGGGTGTTAAGGAGGGTATCGCAGTATCACATGCTATTGGTAGATTAAGAAAGGTGGGCAGCCTGCAAGTTGACTGAGACAAAGTATGCTTGAAGTTGGAAAGGTAGGTGGAGGCTGGGTGGTTGTGTGAGAGGCTGGAGGAATGGAAAGAGTATTGAGTGTGTGGTACTTAGACCTGGGCTTGGTTACAAATGCTGGCATTTTATAGAGGTATCATATAAACTCAGGGGATGCCTATTTGATTATCTCTAAAATGCACATGGTTATTTACTCAGAGTTGTTATGCAACCAAATGATAGTAAAGAGTCAGATGTTAATGCCAATGAGGATTATTTCTTTGGGGGGAAGTTTGCTGTGATACTCCTAAAATGTCTATAGAAGGGCATCCACTTTATCTTAAGGAGATTTTCCTCTTAGGTGTACAAGGAAGAGTTTATTAGTTATGATTCAGAATTTGTGCAGCACCCTAAAGGAATACTTGAATCCAGAGTCCTATCTTAGGCAACATATGGGAAATAAAATCTGCTCAGAACCCAGATATTAAGTTCAAATGATCAGGATGGGATGGACTCTGATGAGCAAAACATAGGGTAAGATGAATAATGGTGATTGTTGGGTAGGGATAATATAAAGAAGATGCCTAGGAAAGTTGAGCTTGGAGCCAGAAATTTTACATAGGATATAGGGAGAGGAGTGAGATGGGAAGAAGGTCTCAGGAGAGCAATGAAAGGGGCAGATTTTTGGTTAAAGAAAGATCATATACTAATCAAAGACTCAGGAAGGCCCATAGTTTTAGATAAATAGGCAGGTGTGAGGATCTTAGAGTAGTTGTCACTCTTGACACTGAAGCTGACACCATCTTGCTGGTCGCCTCCTTCAGCTACTGTGAGGAGATCCCTGTAGAAGAGAATGAAGTGAATGACAGCTCTTCCAAAAGCAGCATCGAGACCAAGCCAGACGCCAGCCCACAGCTTCCCAAGAAATCCATCACCAACAGCACCCTGACATCCACTGGAAGCAGCGAAGCCCCCGTATCGGTATGGATGGTGAACACTGACATTCCCCACCTGATCCTGTGGCCAGTGTCTCCTAGCTGAGTTACCTCCATCAGAACCCAACCTGGGGAGTGGGTGGAGGGAGGTATGGTACATTGCAGTTAGTTTACTTGAGGAGATGTGCTGGAGTACATGGGTTCTCTATGTTCTATTAGTATAGTCTCAGAGTCCGCAACTGGATTCAAGGTGCCTGGTTTATACAATTTGATTTGACTTCTAAGATTGGAAGTCTCCACTGTGTGGACTTGGCTCTTGGTGGGCTGCTCCAGGTCTTCCCCTCTGGTGGAGAATTTTTCTAGGTCTTTTATGTATTATGTGTGTACATAGTTAATTCATTGACTTGATCTGAAATCAAAGTTGTTCATGAATATAGAGCTGGAGAACAGTTGATTTGCTTATTTATCCATTAGATTAATATTTATTGAGTTCTTCTATGGTTTATTTCCCCATTGTGCTAGCTTTTTATTAGGCTATAAAGATGTTTAAGAAGATCTCTCTCCTTGGGGCATTGATAGTCAGAAAATAGAATGTTAATGAAGGAAGAAGGTTGGGGCATGTGCTAGCAGGTGGAAGAAGGGGTGGAGTTCCTCAGGAAAGCACTCCTGGAGAAGGGAGGCTAATAGTCCAGTGGGCTGGGGATCAGGCCAGCTGGTCTTAGAAGGAAAACATTATTCATTTGATGCCTACTCTGCATTTTCTGCCTCTCAGCTTGTCTAAAATGTGAAAATTTTTATTGATTCCCTTCCAGTGCTAATGAGAGAGTGACTTTTTAAAAAGGGGCTGTGGGAACTTCTGAGGTTAGAAAATGAAAGCATTCTCCCTAGAGGCAGGCTGACATTGTCATAGCATGGTGGAGGGGTGGCTCCAGGAAGGACCTGGAACTGCAGGCGCCACCTCTGCTGACCTGTTGGTCAGTGTGCTGTGTGAATAGCGAGCCTGAGAAGGGCAGCTCCATGTGCTGGGTTCACTCATCTCCTGCAGCAGAGCTGAGCAAAGGCCCAGAATATGACTCCAACCTAGCTTCTGTGTTGGGAGTGCAAGGGCTTCCAAAGCCATGTCTCCAGTCTCCCTTTGGAGAGTAGATCCAAGCAGGTTGTCCCTGGTGGTGTCTCCACTGCAGTTTGATGGCCTGCCCCTGGAGGAGGAGGTGTTGGAGGGCGATGGGACTCTGGAGAAAGAGCTTGCTATTGACAACATCATCGGGGAAAAGATTGAGATCATCGCGCCCGTGAACTCCCCTTCATTGGACTTCAATGACAATGAGGACATCCCCACCGAGCTTAGTGACTCTTCAGACACTCATGATGAAGGTGGGCATTTGAACATAGGTTCAGAGTGGACCTTTGAAGTCTTAAACGAAGTCTCTATGTGGGGACTAGAGTTACCCTTCTGGACCAGAGGGAAAAGCATTGCTGAATCAGTGGATTTGGAGACTCCTCTTCTTTCTGATGAGTCTATTTTTTGTTTTTTTTACAGATATATATGTTTTAAAATTTTTAAATCTGTTCTTTTTAGATACACATGACAGAAGTGATTTTGACATATCACATGTAACTTCTCATTCTTGTGATTGTACATGATATGGAGTTACACTGGTGGTGTATTCATATATGAACTTAGGAAAGTTATACTATATTCATTCTACTGTTTTTCCTATTCCCTTCCCCTCTCCCTTTCCTTTATTCCCCTCTGTCTAATCCAGTGAACTTCTATTCTTCCCTCTACACCCTCATTGGGTGTTTGCATCCGCATATCAGAGAGAACATTCAGCCTTTGGTATTTGGGGATTGGCTTATTGCACTTAGCAAGATAGTCTTTAATTGCTCTAAGTAGATGCCTCTTTCTTTGCTCCCACATAAACTTCGCTCCCAGGACCTCACCTGGGAACATGATCCTTCTTATATTCCATGAAGAGAAGTCAGATTCTCAGTAGTCATTAAGTTAGTTGATGATTATCTTCCACTGAATTGGTAGTAGTATATTTCTACTGAGTAGACATGAGTACACTTGTTCATCTGTGGACAGTCTCTCCTAGAGGGCCCCTGCAATGGCTTTCTAACCTTTGACTGGTTTACCTACCCAGACCTAGGATCTGGGGCTAGGATAGATGCCTGCACAGGTTGGGTACCACCTAATACCAGAGGTGCCATTCACAACATTCTCCTCACTGTGCCAATATGACACCTGATCTATATAGTCCTAGGCACTATCCCTATATGATTTTGCTGCTGTGACTAAAGGATTTGACCAGAACAACTATAGAAGAGGAAAAGTTTATTTGAGGGCTCACAGTTTCAGAGGTCTTAGTCCATAGAAGGCTGGCTTCATTCCTTGGGGGTTTGAGGTGAGGCTGAACATCATGGTGGGAGAGGGTGGCAAGAGGAAGCAGTTCACATCATGGTGAACAAGAAGCAGTGAGAGACTCCACTCTCCATATAAAAAAATATATACCCCATAGCCACGCTCCCAATTAACCACTTCTTCTAGTTGCACTCCATCTGCCTCCAGCTACCACCCAGTTAATCCCTTCAGGGATTAATTCACTGATTATGTTAAGACTCACAATCCAATCATTCCTTATCTGAACCTTCTTTCATTGACTCACACGTGAGATTTTGGGGGACACCTCACATCCAAACCATAACATTGTCCTTCTCTGGATCCTGGGGCTGCCTGAAATGTCAGCCTCCTACTTGACATTACCTGTCAGCCCATGCAGGTGCAGACATTAGGGACTGTGGGGTGCTGGGGACTTGGGAGGAGCATGTAGACTTAGTGGCTCACCTGTACCCTCAGGCACCTTTTTCTGTAACAATAAAAATTCAGAACATTACAGGTGAGATTCTGTGGGTAGCAGAGGAATATGCTCTGCATGTTGTCTGTCACAGACTATGTTCCAGGTGGGTACAGCATCCCTGAGAACCAAGGAAGCATCACTTTGGGAACACTCCTTGACTTTGCTCTGTGTGTCTGTCCCTTTGACTCATTCTGATCTATATATCCTATACATATATGTATATGTATCTATATGTGTGTGTGTGTGTGTGTATGTATGTATATATATATATATATATAATATATATATATATAGTTGTTATAATAAATCTATGATGATTTTTTAAAAAGAGGAGGTATTGACATCATGGGGGATATAAGCTGCCTGTGTATTTAGAAGTCACAGCCCACCAGGTCAACCCAGGCCTTGGATGCTGTTCTATAAACAGATATTTTTAGCTTTATCAGCAGCTCTAGAACCCACCTGTGCTAGTGGTTACTCTGTCATTTGTTGTTAATTGTGCCTAACTTATAGACTCTGAGTAACCCATCCTTTAGGATTCAGACATCCTCAGAAAGTAGTCAATTGTTTGAATTTTAGTCTGAGATCCACTTGATTAGGGAGATTTGAAAACGTAGAACCACATACAACCACGTTGCCCCATAGTAACACTGGCTACATATACAAAGGCCTTCTCAGGGTAAAGTGCACAGAGGTGTTGGAGCGTCCTAGTTTGTACAAAGACCAAATCATCGAATGGCTCATTTCTCACACCATTTCCTATAGTCAAGTGACCTGTGACTATAATACATTTCCAAACTCTTTGCAAAGGATGAATGGAAAGTGTGTCAACTAAAGTAAAGAGTGTGTGTCTCCAGCTTGACAGAAGCAAAGTCATAAACAGAGGCCATGGGCTCAGCCTACCTGACCCTTGGTGGCAGTGTGTGCATTAGCCACAGAGACATTAGTGCTCTGGGAATGTCCCTCAGGCCCCCTCCCTTCTCTCATCCTCCTCTAATCCCTGGCAATTTTTTATGTGCAGGGGAGGTCCAGGCCTTCTATGAAGACCTGAGTGGCCGGCAGTACGTGAATGAGGTTTTCAACTTCAGTGTGGACAAGCTGTATGACCTTCTCTTCACCAACTCGCCCTTCCTGAGGGATTTTATGGAGCAGCGAAGATTCTCTGGTCTGATTTGCAGGGCTGGCCCCTCCCTGACTATTCACCCTCCCTCCCTCTGCATTCTCTCGCTTCTCCTTCCTCTTTTCCCTCTCTTCCTATGCAACCCACCTTTCCAGGGTACCTTCTGGCCCAGACCCCCTCTTTCTGGCCTTACGTGTTGCTGGAGCTCCCTCAGGGCCCTAGTTTCCTCTGTTCCCTGAGTGCTGTTTTTACCTATGCCCTTGTCCTTCAAGTATCAAGAACTTTCCAGCGATCAAGACTTATTACACGTCTTGATCTCTGCTCTCTGCCTTCATGGGGCTTGCTGTCTAGTCAAGGGCAGCAGTGCTTCCTCACCGGAAGCCACCTACTCTTTGCCAGGCACCTTGCATTATCTCATTCAGCCCTCACACCTGCCTTGTGTACAAGGTATTAGGTTCCCCCCACATGATGACCTTTCAGGACACTAAAACCCATGCTGTTATTATTCTCCTACCTAATGTAATGACAAGGGGCAGAGCCAGGATTCATATCTAGGACTCTGGGGTTCATGCTTTGACCCTCCCTATTCCTCTCTCATTCTCTCTCCACATTTCTTCCCACATCAGGGACATAGCACCGACCTAGCAGGACTGCTAAGCCTCTTGCTCTGAGAAAAAGCATTGGGGGTAATTGTGAGCCCTTCTGCCAGAAGGGAACATGCTGAGAACACGGGAAGTCAAACCCTAGAGGCAAAGACTTGTTCCCAAGGGATCCCAGGCCCTTGCCACAGTAACTCCAGTGTTGCTGGCACCCCCGCAGGTGGCCCCAAGACCTCCTGCCCCAGCCTAGGGAACAATCAGCATTCTGGAGCCCTGGGTAGAATTTCGGCAATGCTACAATGAGCCTCTTTTTGCTCTGACTCCCCCTCCTCCTGCCCTCCCTCCAGGCCCTCAGGCTCCCATTGGCTTCCTTTGGGGGGCCTGTCTAGTCAGCACAGAAGGAGGAGTTCAATGGGGAGATTCGGGTGTGGGGAGCAGTGCTACTTTCCCTCCCTCACTTCAGGGCCCTTCTCCACCCTCAGATATCATCTTCCATCCATGGAAAAAGGAAGAGAATGGAAACCAGAGCCGAGTGATTCTTTATACCATCACCCTTACCAATCCCCTAGCTCCCAAAACTGCCACTGTCAGGGAGACACAGGTGAGCAGGAAGAAGGCAGAGGCAAAGGAGAATGGGCTGGGAAGTCCTGCTCTGGTGTGAAGGGTGAGGGCTGGTGTACGGGGGACGGTTCTCGGTGCAGGTGTGTTAACACCCATCTGGATGGCAGCACCTTGCCAGCTCTGAGGCCACCATTTCCCACGGTTCTGCATCTTCTGTTGCAGGGTGGTGGGTGGGGTGGGGAGGTGGGAGAAACCACTCTTCCTCTTGCTTCTTTCGGTGTTGGCCAGTGAACTTTTTCTCCCCACAGACCATGTACAAGGCGAGCCAGGAGAGCGAATGTTACGTGGTAGACGCGGAGGTCCTCACCCACGACGTGCCCTACCACGACTACTTCTACACCATCAATCGCTACACACTCACTCGCGTAGCCCGGAACAAGAGTCGACTCAGGTGGGTGTGTGGGGCCCAGAGGGTTCAGATGGGTTCTTTATGTCACACAATGTTCATTAGCTCCCTAGGGTGAAAGAAGATCCTTCTGGCTCTTGATTCTACCTGCTGGCTCTTGATTCTCTCTTCTCTCTGAAGCCTTGTATGACTCCCCATCTCCCCGTCCCGACAGTTCCTTATTCTCTCCACCGTGTATCCCTTCATCACTAGGTACATCTCTGTAATGAGACCTTTATCACCACCACTGTTTATTGAATGTCTGTGGTTTACATGTTACCATGTAGGCACCTTAACTACATTCATTAGAATCTTTAGAATGGCCCAAGGAGGCAGATTTATTCTCACATTCAGATATATAACTTTGCCAAGAATCATGTTCCCAGTTAACACTGAAACTCAGCTCTTAGAAACAAAAGCCTGGGCTCTTTCCCATGTCACAATTTCCTGTTTGCCTCCCCTGCTGGACTTTTAGCTTCACAAGAACAGGAGTTCCAGCACCTTCCACCCCATACCCCCAAACTGATTCCTGGCTTGTAGCACTGGGCATGCTCATAAGAGTCCAGGAAGTGTTGTTTGAATGAGTTCTGGGCACTCAGAGAAAGAAATTTAGACCCTGAAATCATAAGAAGTGTGTTGTCTAATTGAAAAGTCACCTGTATCATAGACCAAATTCTTTGGATTTTTAAGGAGCAAGAAACTCATTGATATCGTTCAAATAAAATAGGAGTTTAGTAACAGGTTCTGCAAAGATTTCTTGGGAGTTAGAAAAAGCTCAACATCTAGGCTGGAGATGTGGCTCAGCGGTAGCGCGCTTGCCTGCCATGCGTGCGGCCCGGGTTCGATCCTCAGCACCACATACAAAAAAACAAAGATGTTGTGTCTGCCGAAAACTAAAAAATAAAATATTAAAAACAAACAAACAAACAAAACAAAAAAAAAGATATTAAAAAAAAAAAAAAAGAAAAAGCTCAACATCTGAACCTCAGGAACACCCTGCATCTTTCTAATCCTCTTAGGTGTAGCTTTTATTTTCGAGTGGCGTGGAGAGGAGCGTTTGTGCTGCTTGCCTAACCTAAGCCTTCCTTCTCTTTCCCTTTTCTCTCACCTCTCTCCTGTTTCTCCTGTCCTTTGTCCACCCACCCCCACCAAGAGTCTAGGTTTCTTAGTTCTACTTTCCTCAGATCTTTCAAATGCATGTCCCATCTATGCACTCCACAGAGAGCTAGCTTTGACCTTTGTAGGAAAATGCTCATCCTTCATCTAGTGACTAGGTCTTGAGCATCAGGCTGGGATGGAGGCAGCATCCCAGAGGGGGATAAGCAGAGCAGGTAGTCTTAAACATGGGGTATATGAGCTGGGAGAATCTTTTGACAGGCTCGTGCCCACCGAGAATGAAAGGAGCAAGACTGTGTTTGCAGGGAAAGAACTCAGTATTCCAGAGGTAGGGGCAATAGCATGAGCAGTGACTGGGGAAGGGACTACCTGGAGAAGAGTAAGAGCTGGTGAGGTTTTGGGTGCAATGGAGAAGCAGGAACTGGGGCCAGGAGCAGAAGACACTCTTACAGGTGGAAGTAATGAGACCCCAGAGCCTGACTTATGTTTGAAGGGCTCAACGTCAGCTCTGAAGTCCCTTGGCTAGCTGGCAGCCTGCTTGGCACCCATCTGGAGGCGCCTTGGATGGAAGCAATGTGGCAAAATGAAAGAATTCTGGGTTTGGAGTCTGAAGCCCTTGTTGTTAGCCTTTGACCTGCTTAAATATTCTCAATTTCAATTTTCTCAACTATAAAATGAGAATAAATCCCAGTGACCTCAGAGGATAGCCAAGGAGATATGAGATACGATAGAGATGAAAGGACTTTTGAATATGTCAAGTGCAATACAAACGTGAAACTGCCTTTGCCTTAAACATGAACTTACCTTTCCTGGCAGAGGAGGGTCCACCTAGGAAATGACTTGTCTTGTTTTTGGCTTGTCCCTCAGGGTCTCTACAGAGCTGCGATACCGGAAACAGCCCTGGGGGTTAGTAAAAACCTTTATCGAGAAGAACTTCTGGAGTGGGCTGGAGGACTACTTCCGCCATTTAGGTGAGTACTACCCTCATTGTTGCTGGTTGAACTGCAGGACCTGGGTGACCTGTATGGTTGTCACCATTCAGGGGAATGAGAAACTGAGATAACAAGAGTAGTTTTGTGTGATCTTCATATTCGCCCCCCAAAATGGATACCAAATTTGGCATGTATGTGAAATGCGTGCATTTTTTCAAGAGACTAGTCTATCATTTTGTGAGAGCATTAAGGCAGCTATAATATCCCCCTGACATGAACCCCTAATCTAGTGATACTGGTAGTAATTGTGTTATGAGAAGGATCTGAAAATTGCCTATGGATGCATCTATTTAGAAGGTGTGTAATATGCCCCAAATTACACACATGTGGATGTAGACATTGGGACATGGCTCTACTGAACAATCCAGAAGAGGGGTTTGGGCAGGGTTAGGATCCAGAAATGCCTCCCACTGGTATCCATGAGGATCACTGTACCCACCTGGCCAACTTTGGAGGGTAATGTAGGAAAAATGTTTCCCTGTACTCCTTCTGGAGGCAGGTATGTGAAGGTGGCCTCTGATGTGGCCCTGTTGTCTGTGCTAGAGAGTGAGTTAACCAAAACGGAGAGTACCTACCTGGCTGAGATGCACAGACAGTCTCCCAAGGAGAAGGCCAGCAAGCCCCAGACCGTGCGGAGGAGAAAGCGTCCCCATGCCCACCTGCGGGTACCTCACCTGGAAGAAGTAATGAGCCCCGTCACCACACCCACCGATGAAGACGTGGGCCACAGGATCAAGCACGTGGCAGGTTTGTTCCAGTTGGGGACAGTGGTGTGGGTTGGGTTTTGAGCTACATGCCCCTGCCAGGGCACATGACACTCCTTTTGCACCTTGGGTATAATTTGTATGATTCATGTGTAACTCACTAAATCTGAGGCTTCTCATGCTCCATCTACTTCTCCTTGCCAGTTAAGTTCCTCAGCTTCACTGAACCCTTACATGTACTCTGCTTAACAAACGTTGCCTTTGGGCTTATGACACCTAAGCTCCATAGCTACCTGTGTAGGCTCATGTATGCAGCCTCCACATTCTTGGGAAATACACCAAGAAGAAGCTGAAACCCAGATCCTAGAGATGAACTCATATTACAAAGGTCAAGGAGTCCAAAATAGTCAAGGGTCTGCCCACCCAGGCTGTGCACTCCCCTGGTAGCTCTTCCTCTTCCCATCCAGCCTTTCACAGCCTCATATCTTTACTCAGTCATGGAAACCTGGGGTGATAAGGGGCCTAGAGAGTGATGAATGCCATATTTCATAAACCGTGCTCCACATGTACCTGTGAGTTCATCAGCGCTGCATGGGGACAGGGAAGGAGGCGGAGGAAGAGAGGAGAGTGCCAGTCTTCCATGTCCCTTAGTCTTGCCCAGAGCACTCCCATGGGTATATATGTATTACACAGAAAATTTCAACTACTGTTGCATTTTAATAAACTGATTCTCAGGTTGCGTGACTTGCCCAGCATTGTGTTATGCAGGAATTTAGGGCTGGAAGCAGCTGCATCTAGTCCTTTCCCAGTGCTGTTTCCTCTTCCTTAGGCCAAGACCACTGTCCTACATTATTATATTTTAGCCACACAAATGAGAAAATTGATTTTCTCATTTGCTCAGTGTTTACCTGAACCAACCCCGGACCTTGCCCTTGAGGGGCTTATCTCCTGTTGCAGAGCTGGGCATAGCCACTATACCCATCAGCAGCACCATGGACCCCTCCCTGATGTTTCTTGCCTGACCATTATCATGTCAGCAGTTAGGAAACTTGTGGGCCATGCCAATGACAGCCTATTTATTCTCCCACAGGTTCCACGCAGACACGGCATATTCCCGAAGACACTCCCAACGGTTTCCACCTGCAGAGTGTTTCTAAGCTGCTGCTGGTTATCAGCTGTGTGTAAGGAACTCTAGGCTGTCCTCCCATCCCTGCCCCAATGCCTTTCCTTTCCTGCCTGGTGCAGGAAAATCATCTCCCATCTCTCAAAGCATTTATTTAGTACCTTTTCCCCTGTTTTTTTTTTTTTTT